AATTAAAACAAAAGACAGATAAAAAGAAGCAAAAGTAAGCAAAATTTCGCTTTTTCAGGCGTAAATTATATACAGTTTAAACATTTTGAGCACCAATCACTAAACAAATGCTATTTTAATGATAAACCAGTTTAGGTGTCTACAGGCATATTAACAGAAAAGGATTCTGTCCCATCGGAACATATCAGACATAAATATCGCCGCGTTTTACCGTCAACCAGCTGAACTGCACAAAATTTGTTGATACAAAGGCGCTTGCCAATTATAATGAAGCAAATCTGCCAAAAGAATATCATCGATGACAGCTAACTACCACCGTCGACACTGTCATCGATATGCCTTTACGGTTATGAATTACGACTTAATGTAAAATTATTTATAAGCTAAATCAGACCATTTTCACCGCAGATACTAAAACAATGAGTAAAATTTAAAATTAAATATCACAAGCCACTTTTTATGAATAAAAAATATTTCTAACAAAATCTTAAAAATACCATTCAGAAAATTTGGAAGAAAAAAGTTGAGACATATTTTTCCTAATAATAATTATTACTTTTAAGAAAAAAATAAACTTCCATAAGCAGCTAACTGATATCATCTGCAACAAAATATTTTTTTCACCGGCAACTATTGCTGTTATTGTTGTTTTCTATTTTTTCTTGTACATATCATATTCATCAACTGTTAGTATTCATTGACTTAACTGAAATGAAAAACTATCTCTATAAATCATCAAACTATTTGTTGCAGTAAACGTTACTCACACAAAACAAACTTCAGCATACAAATAATGTTATTGTTACTTGCCGCTGAAACTGGTACAGTTTATCCAGTCAACTTAAAATAGAGAAAGTTTGATTGAGAGAATAAAAATTCCGTGTTCTCTTGTCACTATATCCCTCGTCTCGTATAATAAATTAACAGTCAAGGATACGCAAAAAAAATTCTTTAACTTGGCTACAATCTTCGTAGGATCGAAAGACCAGACAACAAACTGGTAAACGTTACAGTAAAAAAATTCACAACCTTTTTAGTCATTTAAAATCCCTCAGCCTTTTTCTTTAAACTCCTTCACTCACAAATGATAAATAGAAATTGCGTTGTTCTATCTTTCACTCAAAAATTTTCTAACAAAGATATCCTCTTTTTAAAAAATATCTTGACAAGGATAAAATCGGCAGTTCATATTTCAACAGTTGATAATGCAAAATTTTTATTTTTTAAAATTATTAACCGCCCAACTTCTTCCGGTAATAGATCCAAAATAGAAAACACCCAGGTAATTAAGAATTTCGGCGGTGTCCAAAAAGAGTTATCATCCTTGTAAAAGCCTTTAAACTGTTCACTTCCCTCCTAACACCTTCTGCCACTTGATTTGACTCACTCCTGTGCAACGCCCAGTAGTCAGCCTCAAAACCGTCTTGACATGCTATCTGGAAAAAACTGGCCTTACATACCCGCGTATGTTTGTATGTTCTTTTGCCTACATCTGTCTCGACTTTTCCGGCGTATGATTGCGCAGGTAGAACACATTGCAAACACATCATTCGATCATCGCTCGTATCTGGCACAAATAATGGTTACCGTCATGCCATACCTCGGGTAGAAAACACAAGTCAAAAATCTGCTTTCTTAATTAAACAAAAAATGATTTGAACGGTCCTGTCGCATACGACTGAAAGGAATCATTTTGCAGAAAACAACATAAACATCAAAAAACTTTTATGCCATTATACACGCGTCCAACGACTCCTCGTCCAATGCTCCAGAGAAACTATCGGCATGATTCGTCCTAATGGTGTACCAGTTGAAAGAAAATCGGACCAATTTCGCAATGATTTCCAAAATTTGCTTCTGAATTCATGACCCAAGATTACTACCATTACTCAAGCACTCTGTAAGTGAAGACAATAGCAACCTGCCAAATGACAAGTGGTTTCAATTCCTAAACAACTGGTGCCATAAAGCTTGTAACCATCTTATGGTGGCAGTGAAATAAAGGGAAGAGGGCGCATAAAGATCAAACCCTACTTACCCTTCTACCGTTCAAGCAAGATTACAACACAGTCAAAATTCCACAGCACTATGCAACTCCTTGTGGGCCTTTACTAAAGTAGAACAAGTGATCTTATATTTCCTGCATACCAAACCATTTCTGTAAACAACCCTAAGTCGGAAATAAAAAAAGGAAAAAATTAACATAATCGTGTTTATAAGCATGTCAAAGGATTGGAAAAAGAATCCACTTGTAACTGAAAAATACAATCTTAAGTCCATCCATCACTTTATATCAAAAACAGCAAACTAAATTTTCCCCTGTCCTTTCCTCTGTCTGCTGGAATGGCAAAAATTCCACACAGTTTAAAAAAGTTTTAAGCAACAAACCAGTTTCTACAAAAAAGAAGCACCAACAAACTTATCAAATAATTTACTACAGACAGTTTCTGAAAACTATTCTACATAAAACCTTCTGCTTAGGAAATTTGGTTCGCTAAAAACGTTGAGGGAAAAAAAATCACACACAACCACCCAGAGAAGCAAGCAAAATTACCATCCACGCTTAAATAACACATAGGTTCCTATAGCAGAACGTACTTGAGACTTCATAAATAAAATGCATAAATAAAAAAACTATAATCACAAGAATTATTAACTGAGAAAAACTATGATTTTGACTCACAGGAAACTTGACCTTAGCGACAACAAAATCATTCTTTTAGGAACGAATATAAGACAAAGATTGAGCAAACCGATGAGCAACAAAATTCAAGTAAACAAAAACAAATAGAAAGGCTGAATGAAACAAATAGAAAACAGCATATTTAAAGCTCGAATTTTGGCTTTGCTTCAAAAATTTTTTGTAATCGAAATTCACTAATAAAATCCTAACTGGAAAATAACAATGTCTTAAATCATAATATAGAAGAACAATGAACAGTACGATCATCCAGTCTAGAACAACCAACAGCGCTAGCACCAGTGAAGGCAGTGCAATGTGAGTGAAGCCAATCAGATTCCCCGGAAAAAATATGGCCTAATGTTGCATTCTCGGAAGTGCTGGTACTGACCGCAGTGTGTGAAAGAGGAGCAGAAATGATATTTGCAGATCTGAACCATATTTTTAGCTTATTTGTTACATTATATTAAAAAATAATTAAAAAGTAATTTTAATGAAGAAATAAATGCAATAACCTATTAAGTCTTAAATGACTCTTCACCAAGCTGCCGGTACATAAAGCAGCTAATAAAGAAAGTTCGCCAGCCAAGACAGTAGCACAAATAATCTCAGCTAAACGTTTTGCATTATTTCCAGGTACATCGACACTGGCACCATCACAATTTAACATCTAAAAACTCATTACCAATTATTAAATTAATATCAATAAGCCGGAAGGCTAAAATGACAAAAAATTACTGATACTCGTTAAAAAAATGAATAAGACAACAAAAATGCTGTTTTAGTGACAAACTTTTAAGCACGTTTTTTGAGCTGGCAGAATCGTGCCACCTCCAACGGTTCCAACTTCCAAGCATTTCATAGTGCATGTAACGTGAAGATCGCCACCTCGCGTTTTATCCATAAGTGTTAGACACATACTACTTGAAACCACTTGTGCTGCATCCTAAAACCGAACCTCAAGCAAAGCAACCGCAAAACAGGCTGATGATCGAACAGCGTCCCTTGAGTTCTAAAACTTTTACCTGTCCTGTAGCCAAAAATATAGCAGCAACAATGTTGGCTGCATGAGCATTCCACCCCCCAACAGTACCAGCCATCGAAGTCCCAACCAACAGCTTTGTTTTCGCAAGCTGGCAAAGATCTTCAACTGTTGTTTTCAATTCACTTTGAACTACGGCACTCGGGATAAATGCTTCAGCAACAACTGACTTTCCTCGACCGTTGATCCTAAATTACAATGTGTCAGGAATAAATACTCACAACAATCAACATTCGGAACTTTCACCTACCAGTTGATCGAACTAGCCTTTTTGTCGACACAGTAATTTCCAGAAAGCGAAAGTACCTCCATTTTTGGGAACAGTTTAGTCATCATGTGCAAAACTGCAGTCACTCCTCTAAAATCAAAAATTCTCTCGACACATTAACTTTTGCGGTTCATATCACGTTGTACTATAATCCTGCAAAACTGATGGTAAAAATAAGAACCAATATGATTACTTTGAAACCATGTTCATTCCCATTGCATCTCCTGTAGACGCTTCGAATCGGACAAAAAGGAATGTTCCATACATGCTTACAGTGACGCTCTTCAGCCTACCATAGCTAAAAGTATGTCATATAGAAATACATCAAGATCCAAATAGTATTAGTGAAAAGCGCGCTTACTTGCTTGTTCCGTCAAAAGTTTCTTTCACAGTCCCAAAATACTGTGGGTTTTCCAACCACTCCTTCACTTCTCTATAATGAAGATAGAATAAAAAAATGAAAAACAAATTACAAAATTCACAAATAACTACTCCAACTGAAATAGCTCAGCAGCTTACAATGCTTCTCCAGTGGTTTCAAACTTTAATACAGGTGCACGAGTCATCCCATCCGAAAAAACCTTTGAGAGAACACCGTTGGACTTCTGAAAATGAAACCTCGAAAGTAACCATTCAAAGGTTTGATACGTAAAAATCACTGATTCTAGCCAACAACTACTGGCCTACGTTTACAGCGCTATACAGGAAACAACAGGAAAAACTCACAGTAAGAACCTTGCATCCTCGACTAATGCTTGCAACAAGAGCCCCCTCGGTGGTTGCCAAAGGTATCATATATTCTTTAGAGTTGACATTTAAGGGCCCGGCAAGCCCGAGAGGGAGAGGCACGTAACCAGTAACATTTTCACAACATGCTTTATATACCTGCAACGCAGTCAACCAATTTACCTGTATGCAACGAAATCTTATAATCCGATAAATCAAAAAATCAAAAATTTCTTCAATAATTCAGAAACTGAATAACGTAGTAAACTGATCGGCGGAAGAAACAAATAAGCAACATTAACGCGCTAAAAAACTAACTGAAGAGTAATCATAATTCTCATATGGCAAATCCAACACAGCCAAATTTGATATCGAGCCAAAATGATGCCTCCGAAGACGCACTGCCCTGGCAAAATCCGGATCAAGCTTTGCTTCAAGTTCTCGATGTTTCAGCTGACCAGTTTGAAGGAAACCAAGAATACAACTGCAGTAGAAGTGGTATTTGAAATACCCAAAAACAGTAATTCTCGACAAGAAAGATGCAAATAAATATTTCATTTACAGCCAAAACGATTTCCTGTTAATAAGTCAAAACACTTACTCATCAGTGTAATTCGACAGTGCTATCGTATGATCGACTTTTTTATCGCTGGCAACGCCAGTTTTCGGCTGCGGACTTTTTCTGCTCGATAGTAATGCCGCAGGAGCGCTTCTAGTCTCTTCAAGAGCACGAGCTGTCGCAGCGTAGCTTGGTGGTGAATTCGACTCAGGAGTACTTGCTAAAATGTTCTGGTCTTATAAATCCAACTTCAGACTTAATAAAGGCGTTTCTGCTCAACATCTTTCGCTTACAAATTTGCAAAGCCAATTTCTGAATGTAGAACCACAAGGGGAACAAGCAAAATGATAAGCCAATAGCGGAAAGCGCAAAATTCTTTCTAAACTTGAAAAGATCTTAAAACGGACAAGAAACCCACCAAAATCTGAAGCCTCATCATTAACTTCTGGCTGATCAATCGAAAATTTAGGATGATCATAACATTTTCCGGTGGCGATAACAAGTCCTGACTGCTCTATTAGGTTCATCACTTTTTCTAGAAAATAGCGACGCCATTTCTCCTCTTTATCGATAACTGCAGAATTAAAAAAGTCGGTCAAGCTTTGATGTAATGCATCCAGGGTCTCGTTTGTCGACATACCCAACTGCAATAAAAAAAA